GCGGGCGGCCCCGCTCCAGCCCCGCGCCGGACGAGGACGCCGAGGCGGCGGGAGCCGAGCAGGGTGGTGATTCTACAGAAGCAACCGCCAAACCAAAGAGAAGTTTTTATGCAGCAAGAGATTTGTACAAATACCGACACCAGTATCCACAGAACTTCAAAGATATCCGATATCAAAATGACTTGAGCAATCTTCGTTTTTATAAGAATAAAATTCCATTTAAGCCAGATGGTGTTTACATTGAAGAAGTTCTGAATAAATGGAAAGGAGATTATGAAAAGCTGGAGTACAATCATACGTACATTCAGTGGCTTTTCCCTCTGAGAGAACAAGGCTTGAATTTTTATGCTAAAGAACTGACTACATATGAAATTGAGGAATTTAAAAAAACAAAAGAAGCAATTAGAAGATTCCTCTTGGCCTATAAAATGATGATAGAGTTTTTTGGAATAAAATTGATAGACGAAACTGGAAATGTGGCCCGGGCCACGAACTGGCAGGAACGGTTTCAGCATCTGAATGAGTCCCAGCACAACTATTTAAGAATCACTCGTATTCTTAAAAGCCTTGGTGAGCTTGGATATGAAAGTTTTAAATCTCCTCTTGTAAAATTTATCCTTCATGAGGCTCTTGTGGAGAATACTATCCCCAATATTAAGCAGAGTGCTCTGGAGTACTTTGTTTATACGATCAGAGACAGAAGAGAAAGGAGAAAGCTGCTACGGTTTGCGCAGAAACATTACACACCTTCAGAGAATTTTATCTGGGGGCCACCGAAGAAGGAACAATCTGAGGGAAGCAAAGCCCCCAAAATGCCCACACCTCCTGGCTCTGGTCACAGCAATCAAACTTCTATGCACAAAAAATCCAAGGAGTCTAAAAATGCCTCCTCAGCTGTTCATTTAAATAGCAAAACAGCAGAAGAAAAAAAAGTGGCCCCTAAAGAGACGGGTGAGGAGGCAGAGAAGCCCAGAGCAGAGCCCAGTGAGGAAGCTGCCAAGTCCAGAAATGGCGAGAAGGACAGTGATGGTGAAAATTCGAATTCCCAACCAGAAAAAACCATTGACAGTCCCACAAAGAAAAATGAGAACAGTTCCCCTTCTGAAAAAGAGGAAGAGGATGAAAATACTAGCAAAAACTGTGAAAATCCTGGGAATGCAAGTTCCTAAGATGATACACTCTTACAGAGAATTAGCAGAAAAGCCACAAACCCATTTAGGTAAGGGGAACAACCAAATCTGTAGATTTTTTTTTCTTAAAAAAAACAAAAATAAGGTTACACTTACATTTCAAAATTTAGTGTCTGTTTTGTGATTTATGTTAACTTTTTTTTTTTTTATCTTTTGGATAAAAATGACTATGTGGTAGGAAGTCTTAATATCAGATTGAATAAATATGTTCTGTAATGCAAAAACAAACAAACAAACAAACAAACAAACAAAAACATGAATCTCTTTGTAGTTAGTTGGCCAGGTAGCTGTCTTCCGTATTTGTTGGCAGAGACTAGTGAGCATGTCTAGCAAATAGATGCAATCTGTTTCCTGACACAAATCAACCGGTACTGTGTCAATTCCTGGGATCTTATTTTTTTCCAACCTTTAGTGCAGCTTGGACTTCTTCCTTCATTACTGTTGGTTCTTGATCATATGCTACTTCCTTAAAAGGTTCAGTGTTGACTAGTTCTTTTTGGCACAGTGACTTTGTATTCCTCCCATCTTCTTTTGATACTTCCTGCCTTGTTCAAGATATTGCCTATATGTCAGTGGTGCATATTGAGGACTGAATTTGTTCTTCAGTTATTTCAGCTTGAGAAATGTCCAACATGTTCTTCCCCTTTGGTTTTCTAAGTAGTTCATTGAACACTGCATTGTAATACTTTGTTTTCTCGAGCTGACCTTTGAAAACTTCTGTTCTATAATCTTACTATAGTGTTGTTGTTGTTACATGCCATTGAGTTGCCCATGAGTCATAGTGACCCTATATACACCTGCTCTAAAACCTGCCATATCCTGAGCCAATCTCATCACCTCTGACAGACCTAATCTCATTTCTCCAGCTACTGAGTCAATTAATTTCAGTCTGGGTCTTCCTCTCCTGCTCTGTCCCTCTACTCTTCAAAGCATGATGTCCCTCTCCAAGGATTGGTCTCTCATAGCCACATGCTCCAAAGTGTGTGACATAGAGACTCAAAATTCTTGCTTCCAGGGAACAGCGTGGTTTCACCCTCTCTAGAACATACCTGTTTGTTCTCCTGGCAGTCCATGGTATGTTTAGTACTCTTCTATAGCCCACAACTCAAAGGCATTGATCTTTCTTCTACAATCCTTAGTTATTATACAGCTCTCAGATGCATAGCAAGTAATTGCAAAGTCCGTGGCCTGTTCAGGTGCACCGTAGTCTCCAGATTGACATTGTTGCTCTTTTGTACTCTAGAGAGGTCCCTGACAGCAGACTTTCTCAGTGCAACTAGTCTTTTGATTTCTCAACTGCTGGTGCCAAGAGTGATTGTGGAGCCAAGCAAGTTGAAGTTATCAACAACATCAATTTTTTCTCCATCCATCATGAAGCTGCTGATTGGCCTAGTGATGAGAGTCTTTGACTTCTTTGCATTCCAGTGCAAGTTTCTGCATCTCTTCTAACATCCATTTTTGTATTTTCTTTCTTCCTTGTCTTTGTAACAGACTTGCTTTCTTTATGGATGATATCTTTAATGTCTCAGATTGATCTTCGGTTGTTAGTGTTCAATGAGCCAAATTTATTCTCAAGATAGTTTTTAAGTTCAGTGGGGCACACAAAGGTCATATTTTGGTTCTCATAGACTTATTTTAATTTTTTCAACTTCTAATCTGTATAAGAGTAGTTGACAGTCTCTTCTACAGTTAGCTCTTGGCCTGATTCTGACTGCTGATATTGAGCTTCTCCAGTCTTTCTTTTTACAGCTACAGCCAATTCAATTGCCATGTGAAGGCCAATAAGCAAAATCTACGTGTATCTTTGTTGCTTATGTACTTGGTTTTTTAAAAAATATAACTGCAAAAATGAATCACTGATTGTACCATATTCTATCATGTGATCTCCAACCTCAATTCTGTCACCTAGGGCATATTTTCCAATTTTTTTCAATTCCAGTCATCACTATTATTAACGTATCTTGAATGCATATTTGATCAATTTCAGACTGCAAAAGTTAGTAGAAATCTTCATCTTTTTCATCTTTGGCCTTCATGGTTGGTGTATATATTTGAACAATATTTGTACTAACAGGAATTCCTTGTATGTGTTTAGACAATTAACTGTCACTCACAGCATTGTACTTCAGGATGGACTTTGAAATGCTTTTTGATGTTGAATGTCATATCATTTCTCTTTGTCAATCCAGCATAGTAGATTATATGATTTTCCTATTCAAAATGTCCAATCCTAGTCCACCTCATCTCACCAATGTCTATGATGTCAATCTTTACAACTTCTATTGCTCATGCTTCATAGATTTCATATTCCAATTATTAATGATGCTTGTAGCTGTATTTCTGCTACTCATCTATCAGTTTGCTGCACTGTTGGGGCTTTTACGCTGTTGTCATGCTTGAAGCTATGCCATTAGTATTTCAAATACTGGGAGGGTTGCTCATGGTGCACAGGCTTCAGGGGAGTTTCAGGCTAAGACAGACTATCTTAAGTAGCCATCCACTTCTGAATTAATAGAACTTTGGAAACCTGATGGGTAAGACATTGCTGGATCCAGGGCTGGAAGATGGGCCTCTTAGATTGGAAAGCACTCGAATTTGAATAGGGAAGGGCTGCCTCCTAAAAGTAGACCACTATAATGACCTGCAGGAAGTAAAGCTTTCCTCCATTGAAGGATCTTAATTTACTGATGTGGCAAGACTCAAAAGCAGGAGAAACAGCTCCAAAATCCAAATCTGTGGTGGCAGGGGGCTGTTTAGCACAGTAATAGAAGACTGTTAAGGTTCTTTATCTTTTCTTCCAGCTACTACTTATCATTTGGGAATCACTTTTTTCATTCCAAAACAACACTGTTGTTTTATGGCTGGAATATTAATTTTGGGGATGCTGAATGTAAAATGATCAGTAGATGACAGAAGAATCAATGCCTTCTAGTGGTACTGGAGAAGAGTATTGAATGTACAATGGACCGCCAAGAGAACATACAAATCTGTCCTAGGGAGGGTGTAACCAAGTTTCTCCTTGGAGGCAGAGATTTTGAAGCTCTGTTTCACATACTTTGGGCACGTGGCCAGGAGGGACCAGTCCTTCGAGAAGGATATCAAGCTTGGAAGGGTGGAGGGACAGCACAGGGGAGGAAAACTCTGGATGAGATGGATTGATACAGTAACTGGGAAAATGCGGGTAGGGGTGTTAGAGTCAGTGAGACTGGCTCAGGACAGGGCAGGTTTCAGAACTATTATCCGTAGGATCACTATGAGTTGCAGGTGACTCAATGGCACATAACAACAGCATGAGACAGTGTACTGCATAACTGTTAAGTCCAACTAGTCATGTGAAAAAACCTTTGATTATATGAGAAATTACGTAAAACTGTAGAGATCTAAGTGAAACCATAGATTCACAGCAACGTCTAGTGGTTTGGCTTTTCTTCCGTTTTGGGATGACTTTTTGCATTAGAGTTCTTATGAAGTGAAAATAGTTAAGAAAATTAGCCTACTCTTAGACAGCAGTAATAAAACTTTGTCTCACATATTTTGGACAGGTTATTAGGAGAGGCCAGTACTTGGGAAATAAAGGTTATGCTTGAAAAGGTGGGGGGTCAGAGAAAGAAAGGAAGACCCTCAACAAGATGGATTGGCACAGTGACTGTAACAACAGGCTCTATCAGGGATGGGGAGGTAGATGCCAGACAAGAGTCATAGTCTGCTTGACAGCACCAACAAAAACAGCAAGATTGATTCACTCCAATTCTGTGTTGGGTAAAATTCTTGACTAATCTGTGGAGTTGTATGCTCACTCCCATCCTGACAAGGAAAAGTATGATTATAAACAAAATTTATCACCACCACAAGTTTGTAGTCTTGACGGAATTTATTATTATTTCTTTAGTTATGTACTGTTAAGTAAAACAGGTGAAGTGTAGTCCCCAGGTGGCATAGATGATTAAACATTAGCTGTTAATCAAGAGTTTGGCAGTTTGAACCCACCTCTGAAGAAAGGCTGGGTGACCTGCTTCTGAAAGATGACATCAATGGAACCACAGTGAAGCTGTTTAACTCTGAACCACCGGGATCAACATAAGGTGAAGTCATTTCAGCTGATTTGGACTTGATATATTTTTCTTTAAAATAGGTACCAGAACATTAAAGATTTTCTCTGAACCACACCCAGCCCCAACCTTTATATTCCCAGCTCTTATATTGCATATTTCCCCCTAAATTAGTCAACAGAATTCTTTGAGACTATTGCTTGAGTACCTTTCGAAGCTGACTTTTATTTTAGACACTGAAATGATGACGTGATAATCCTTTTCAACATTGTTGGAGTCCTGTTCTATGCCAAATAGTGCATTAACTCATTTCACCTGGTCTGCCAACTTGGGCTCTGTTGGAATTGTCAGCTTGTCAGCAGAGGCAGCCTTAATCAGTTCACCTTCTCCAGCCTCTGACTTGGCGTGACTCTGAAACGCCTCACAGTCCAAATATTCTGTAACTCCGAGAAAAGGAAACACCAGAAAAGAACTTTAATTTCACCCCCTGGGAACAAGTAGGAAATTGGCCTTAATGTGGTAACATTAATGATAAAAAATGTCCTTGAAAATAGCCAGTTGCAGGCCTCTGGTTTTCTCCTTCCACCTTAATCATCCATTTGGAGGCTCTCTTGCCTTTCTGTCCGCCATCGGGTAACACTTGAGATCAAATTCTGACTTACTGACTGCTTGGGTTCTCAAAACTCATTGCTGTTGAGCTAGAACTGATCGTAGCTAAGCCTCTGTTGGATTTCTGAGGCCGTGAACCACATCGGATTGTCACACCGTCTTTCTGTTATGGTGCTGCTGATGGATTCAACCTGCCAGAGAGGGCGAGTAGGCAACACAACTTGCTCCCAAATGTCCCTACCAACAGTGCTTCAGAGGCTTCCTGACTGAGGGAGACTATTTAACCTAACAGCCTCACTCAGCTTCTCATCTGAGGAAAGT